GGGGGGAAAAAAAAAAAAAAAAAAAAAAAAAAATAGGCACTACAGTTAAAGACTAAACAAGGCATTATATCTCAGAATGTTAATTTTCTTCCATTCAACTAACAGTAAAATATATATACACAATGCTGACGAAAATTCCATGGAACTGGCACTTCTACTCATTGTTGAAGGCTTTATAAACTGTTACAATCCAATTCCATTTCTGGGAAGCTATCCTATGAAAATAATTCAAAATATGGCAAAAGCTATAGATTATTTATAACATCCTAGATGCTTGGCATCTGAGATTTAAAATTTGGGTTTTGACAGTGGTAGTTTTAACAGCTTGTGAGAGAACCACAGGTTGATCTACAGCATATGTAAAGTTCCTAAGTGAGTGAGGAAGTCACATAACTAACTAGTAAGTCAGCCTGACTGCCAGCATTAGCTTCTCCTTGTGGTCTCTACTAGCTCTCCAAGCATAGAGACAATTCTAAAATGGGGGTGGCTGGGGGAGTAGAAGAAAAGAGTCTTTGTTAAAAAATTGTTTTTAAAAGTAAAAATCCCTAAAATAGTAAGCCAATTATTTGGCTGGTAATGAAAGCAAAGAGATCTAAGAAAGTACTGATATTTGTGGGTTTGGAATCGGTAACAGCCTTAGGTCACATTTCTTTTCAATGCCTTAGTTCCACTGTAGTGAAAGATTAGAAATATGATTAAATAATCAACAATAGAGAAATGGTCAATTAAACCACAAATATCTAATTATTCAGTGGCTGAATTAGGGTAATGGAATTACAGATAATATCTTTTACATTTCAAAATATTTTATGACATTAATATTACATCCAGAAATAAAAGTCAAGATAAAAATGTACTGCTAAATGGAAGAGGGAGCAGCTCGTAATTCACTTCATGAGGTCAACATTATTCCTATATCAAAAACTAACAACACTGTAATAAACGAAAACTGTAGACAAATAGTCCTCATGAACATAGGTGCAAAATCTTTAACAAAATATTACCAAATTGAGTCTAGAACTATATGAGGTTTATCCCAAGAAAACTACTGCTTAAAATTTCCAGTTATAGACACAAGTGTAAAGACTACTTTTCGGTATTTGCACTACATTCTGTGTTAATAAAGACAAAGGTTAGATTTGGTTCACTCAATGTAACTGAAATATCTGCTATAAATCTTCTCAATCAAGTTAATTTTAAATTTCTCAGTCAACTGAATACCTCAATAAAAAATATGTTCATTTAAAATACCTTAAGTTTATTCTAAAATTAGAATTAAACTATAATTACAACATATTTGACTTTAAAGATAGAATTCAACATCTGTTAGAATAATACAGTCAAGGACCTCACATGAAGCATCCCGAGCAGTATGGTTGTACTGCCTATTGTGAGACTTAGTGACAAAGTGTGCTCATTCCCTTAAAGCAGCCTTTGTGCTCTTTTGCTGGGCAATTCTAATAATATAGAGAATTCCTCTCTATAATACTTTGACATCTACTTTCCTTCAACTTTTATCCACTGGCAAAAGCACCTACTTCTGAGATAATAAGAGATTAAATCTTCATTTACATATTCATCCCCTAAGTACTTGAAAATAATTATTAAGTCACTTTTTAGGCTTTTCTTATTCAGGATAAATTAACTGAACTCTCTCAACCACTGTTCATATGATAATGTTATCAAACTTTATTTTTTACCAATATTTCCTGCAAAAGCCAAACATTTAAAACAAATGGGTTACAACATAGCACCGCTTTCCTATAGGAATATGCAGGAGACTTGTCTATCCTAATATTTTTACTACAATAGTCAATTTTCAAACATTAAAATATGCTGTTTTTCCCCCAAATAAAAATATTAATTGTAAGTGCAAAAACATACTAGTTGTAAGAAACAGAAAGAACTGAATATAGAATGCTTAATTTTTAAGCAATGGTGTTATTAGTATTCTTTCATCTAGAGACTGAAAGAACTGAATCCTTGTCTAAAACTATATCTAGTTTTAAAAGATAAAAAAGCAGTAATCTACAAAATCAATATTATTTGCAAAGGTAAAGGTTGATTTGTCCAGGATTGTTGAAAACCTGTATACATTAGGAAACAATCCTCATTTACCCTCACTTTTATCTTTGTTTAGCTTCAACATGGTCTTAATTAGTATTGTACTACCCTAAGAAAAAGCTGAACAGTTCAATGCAGTTAAAAAATCACTTACTATGCCGTACTTTTTTGACTGTTCACAGCAAAACTGAGATGGGAAACTAAGTATTACCTTATTTTGTACTAGTGAAACTTCACTAATTAATTAAGGCTTAGTGAGGTTATGGGTGAAGAGTCCACTTATGAATTACATAGTTTGAAAAAAGTTTAATGAATTTAGAACACAAGGTACCTGGATTCAAGTTTCTATATTCTGGAATCAAACCTAGGAAGGTTCACTTTCATAGAGGGACAGGAATAATTTGTAGTTAGTAAATCAAAGAAACCTAGAATAAGCTGGCAAGTGTCAAAACACTTGTCCCCAAGTAATTGGGAATTAAATGATGTAGCAAATACCATGTTAATGTCCTCCACAAAACGTTCCTGGAAAATAAGACTTTTAAAGTTCATGTTTCCAAAGATGAGTTAATCTTTCCCATCACATGTCAAATGCACACAATATCCTAAAAAGAAGAAAAAGAAGTCAACATTTAGTCAGTATCTAATCCTTACCTGGAACCCACTTAATTTCCATTTCCATATCATTTTCTTTGCTTTTCTTTTCTTTTTCTTGAATAACTTGCAAGAGTTGCCTATATTTAGCAATTTGCTCTTCATCATCTTTCTGACATTTTTTTGTTTTTCCGTCGTCTTCTTCATTGACTTCATCATCACCTAACAAAAAAAAATCAATTTCATTTAATACACAGGAATGATTCATGTGTATTAAATCTCAATTCCACTGTTTAAATCTCAATCTAGCACCCTCCTGAAAGATGCTGTCAGACATACTGTAATAACAGAATATCAAAATCAGGCCCAAACATATTACTAAATGAACTGAATCAAAAAGTTAGGTTTTGTTTATAATAAAAATCACTTGCAATGTAAGTTAGCACTGTCATGGTAGTACATGTGGCAATCTCCCTTTTTATTAAAAATCATATTTAAAAATAATTCTGTAGTCATGTATCATCCTTGAACTTCTATTCCCCATAGCAGGACAGCAGGAATGACATTTTACCCCTCTTCATGTTCTCCACCATCCACCAAAGCTTTAAAATGTTACGGTCACTAGAAGGAGGCTAGCTATTGCTGGGATGCATCTCATACATGGATTTAGCTGTTTAGGCTGAAGAGACAGATAAAGAAAGTTGCCTGTAGTCCAAAACAAAGAATAACGAGTCCTTTCGATCTGATGGCAAGCAAGTATGCTTACTCTCAGAATCTCAATACATTAATACAAATGAATAAGTTAGAAGTTTATTCAATGAATTTTCCTGTGTGGAAAAAAATATTCACATTTCCATTTCCTGATTTTATAAAAATAATTAGAATACAAAAGAACAGTATAAAATTCATGGGTAACAAATACCAAAGAAAATGAATATGTGAAAAGTTTGTTTGCTCTCTATTTACACTGTAATTCTCCAAGGCAAAAGCATAAATTAAGAACCTGGGTTTTAATGCAAAACATACATACTTACTGAATTGACTAAATGTCTCAGTAAAAATTTAAAAGTAGCAAAAAGAAGACCCTCTTTTCTATGAGTTATGGCTAACTGGTAACTAAAAGTGTCTGACATTATCAAGCATTTAGCTCTGAAACATCAATGTTAACAGATTGTCCTTACATTTTTAAAAAGGTGATATGGAAAAAAGATTGGTTAAGTAAATGTTTTTACAGTTTTATTCTCTAAATGAATAAAAAATAGTCCAGGACATTCTTTCCATCCTATCACACTTTTACATTTTCACTCAAACAGCTGAAATTCATTTTTTTCCTGTTTGTGCTTTGTGCCACAATAATAATGTTGGATGGAATTCTGTCATGTATCCCGTAATTCAATGGATAAAACATCAGGAACACATTAACAAAATGGCAATGTAGTTCTTTCTATTAAAAGCTTACTTCTGAAAACATAATTAGAAGCAAGCTCCTTCCAGGTTGAAATTTTAGTGGTAAGTCTCTGATGGCCTACTTTAAATTGATTTTTTCCAGTACTGAAATTTACTTTCTGAAGCCCTAAAATGTGGGGTAATTCATGTAGGTCTGTTTTTTCCCAATTCAAGGACAATACTTTTTGAAAGCCTTAATACTATACAATGAGTGAAAAAATTACTTGTAACAGTAAGAAGCCCTGCTATGATCTCTTGTAAACAACACCAGGAACATCTAATAACTCTAGGGCATTAAAATATACTATTGTATCTAACAGAGGTACTGAAGTACAGATTAAAGTAAGCTTGCAATCAATTAAAATACTGAAGAAAAATACATGCTTTAAGTAACTTAATGAGTAGTATATTTCAAACAAAAAGCCATTAATCCTTAAAGGTTTTAGAAGTAAAAATATATGATGTGAGGTAGTATGCTAAGCACTATGTGTACATTATCACCATCTTTCCAACCATGAGCCAGGTACTATTAGGATTCTCATCTTATAGCTATGGAAAGAAATGCACAGGGGCTAAAAAACATAACCTATATAACTTCGCAATGTGTGAAGTCAGGACTTGAAACCAGCAGAGCCCAAGATGTTAACAAAAATATACTGACAAATCAATGCTTATTTTCCCACAATATCAGCTGTCCAATGTTAATGTCACTTAAAAAATCGAATTCACTTCTCTCAAACCAATCAAAAGAAAGCTATTTGAAAACTTGCACCTAATCTTTACAAGTGTACATGGAATGTCGTTCTTTTCCCTTATCTTAGAGCTGCTAGAGAAGAAAAACTAGCCGAAATTTTCAGTAAAGTGCTAAGTGACCACACAGGTACACAAATAAAAAGAAAATGTAAATACATTAGTATATCTGGGGGCAGAAAAGACATAAAGGCTATTTGAAAAAGGACTTGGCTGTTCCATATACACTAGAAATAAAATGGATACTCAATTGTTTGGGATGCCAAAGAAATTAACAAGCAACACCCACTCATGCCTTAAAAAAAACATGAAGGCTTTTGTGACCAATGTAACTACCAGTGTGAATCATATACTTTTTCAATGACTATTAAATACCTAAGCAATGGTTTTATTAACATGAGATGTCTGAACAAAGAAACTAGAATAATTAAACGTGATTTTCCATTCTATGTGTGGAACACAGTACAAAAGTGGTACTTTACAAAATACTTAGAAAAATGAAGTAATATCTGCAGTAGTCTAAAAGGGATGGTGATAGCCCAATCATAGGATATTTCTTAAGAAAGTTAAGGTTTAATGGACCTATGATAATACTGGAAAAGCACTTTAGGATTTAAGTTCATGTTTAGGTTATAAAAACAATACATATGTAAAAGGAATTGCAAAAAGGATAGCTAGGAAAATGTTAAGCAACAAATAAAACAGTATTTATTCCTGCTATTTTAGAACATTTATATTATTGTTTAACGTTTATGGTACTTTATTTGCTGTCGGAACCAAATCTCTTACTCATAATTTTGCATGACTGGAATTCTTCTATTAGATAAGAAGAATGAAGATGTCAAGAGATCAGTGAGATACACTAGTATCAACCAAAAACTGATAAAAAATTATAATCAAGCAACCAAATTTCTAAACAGAGCCAGCCCAGCCAGGCATGGCTCAGCAGTTGAGCGATCGGGGTTCAATTCCCGGTCAGGGCACATGTCTGGGTTGGGGGCTAGGCTGCCGATCAATGACTCTCTCATCATTGATGTTTCTATCTCTCTTTCTCCCTCTCCCTTCCTCTCTCTGAAATCAATAAAGATATATTTAAAAATAAATTAATAATAAATAAACAGAGCCAGATCCAGTAAAGGGAAAAAGGGGTGTTTTGAATCTATTTTTAAAAATTGAGTTATTTTAAGCAAACAGCATATATAATTTTAAAATATATCATTAATCATTTCAATCATCAATCTTTTTAAATAAAGATATAGATAATCTGAGAATTTGTGTGTCCATTAATGGTGAGCAAGGTACTTCAGACTAACACTTTCACTGAGGACAACAAATTGGATTAAATATTTAAAATTCTTTTTAAAAACTTCAGAGGTTTAGAGAATACTTCAGAAAACTGACAAATTAGTGAAGAGTAACAAAGCCAATATCAAGGAGAAGAGAGCACCACAGAGATGATCCCAGAGTTCAAGACCTATTTTAACCTGAGAGCATTTACTGATCCACAAAAGAAATAGCTGGCTCAGCGGTTGAGCATTGACCTAGAATTGAGGAGGTCATGGTTTGATTCCCGGTCAGGGCACATGCCCTGGTTGCGGGCTCGATCCCCAGTCAGGGGTGTGCAGGACGCAGCTGATCAATGACTCTCATCGTTGTTTCTATCTCCCTCTCTCCCTCTCCTTTCCTCTCACTGAAATCAATAAAGATATATTAAAAAAAAAAAGGAAAAGAAACAAAACTACAGCTTGGGCACNTCCCTCTCCTTTCCTCTCACTGAAATCAATAAAGATATATTAAAAAAAAAAAAGGAAAAGAAACAAAACTACAGCTTGGGCAGCCTGGCAGTGCCATGAGGACAAAAGTTAAAGACCAAAAAGGAGGGGGATTTCAACTAGTACCCCCACATTAAGCAGGGACCCAGAAGAATATATTCACATAGCAAGGGTCAAGCAGAAGTAAACCAGCCCTCATGAAGGCTTGTATCATTCACAAAATTCAGGAAATCTTAAAATGCAGTAGTAATGTGATCCCAGAATGGCCAGAATAAATGAAGGTTCTCTCTGATGAGGTACTCTCACCTCAAATATCAAATTAGCACACAAAGTTAGCCAGGCATACAAGTAAACAAAAGAGAACTATCTTATAAACAGAAATCAACCCCCCCAAATTTGAAATAGTGCAATTATCATAGACTATAAAACATACTTACTCTGTTTATGAAAATAAAACCTTTAAAAGTATCTGCAATGAGTAGAAAACTATAAAAAGATGTTAATTTGAAAAATAGCCAAATAGGACCTTTACAAGTAAAAAATACATTAACCAAAATTAAGAATTCAATGCATAGGTCTATCAGCATTTTCAACACTGCTAAAAAGAAAATTAGTAAACTGGAAGATTAGGTTAGAAAAAAATAACCAGAATGCAACAGAGAGACAATAGATAAAAATATAGGAGAATAGAAACATGGAAGTTACAGTGAAAAGATCTAACATATTTCATTGGAATCATAGGAGAGGGAAGAAGAAAGATCTCAATATGGCTAAGAATATTCCAAAATTGATGACAGATGCCTTGCCACAAATTCAAGAAACACAACAAACTCTAAGCCCAATAAATAAAATCTACGCTTAGCTGACAGTAAGACCACAGGACAAAGAGAGAAAACTTTAATAGCAGTTAAAGGAAAAAAATCCAGACAATCTTTAAAAGACCAAAAGAAGTTAAGCTGATAGCTGACTTCTCAAAAACAACGATGAAGCCAGAAACCAGCAGAATGTTATCATCAATGTGCAGCTGAAAAGAACTGTCCATCTAGAATTTTTTATCAGTGAAAATATCTTCACAAGTGAAAGCAAAATAAAGACATTTTTAGACTAAACTAAAACTCAAGAGTCTGACACCAGCAGATACTACTGGAAATTATCAAGGATTTACTTAAGGCAGAAGAAAAATGATCCCAGAGAAAAGTATAAGATTTTAGAAAAAAATAAAGAGGAAAAGAAGTGGGGAAAATGTGGGTAAATTTAAACAAAGGAAGTCTAAAACTAAGAATAATATCCCGTGGGACTGAAAAACAGAGTCTACTTTCTAAATTAGTTGAGGAGAAAAATGGAATGTAAAAAATATTCAACTGATCCAAAAGAAGCTCTTAGTTTAAAAAAGGGGATGAAAAAAAAAAAGGAAAAAAAAAAGAAAAAAAAAGGGGGATGAAGTAAAGCATTTTACTAGTTTATTAAGAGACTGCAAAAACTACATGAACCAAGACAAGTCTACAAACCAGGCTTTTTTGGTTAGGTCAAAGTTTTAAAAGGAATGTTTATGGTTAAAGCATTTCAGACTAAGAAAATACTTTTTAATGAAAGTTCTGATTACTATCTAAGGTGTATATAACATTATATGAGAGTATGCTTTGCAGACAGTTTAAAAATTAGTTTCGTACTCCCTTATAGGCTACTGCCAAAGACATATTTCCACTAATAAGTGTAGATTAGGCACCTAAATGCTTACACATGTAGACCACCAGAAGATTAACAAGTACCTTGTAGCCCATCTTCTATTTCCTCTTCATCTTCACTAGAGGAAGCTAAGTAGGCTTGAAAATCCATGTCCAAAAGCTCTTCCTTTTTAAACTTTCTGTTCAGCGTTGTAATTCTTTCATGATCAGTCTCATCCCAAGTGATCTCCACCTTTCACCAATGAAAAAGCAAAAACAATAAATAAAAATGAAAATGTCAGCCACCCAAATATTTATTATTGCCCTGGCTGGGTAGCTCAGTTGGTTAGAGCATCGTCCCGATTGTGGGTTCAATCCCTGGTGAGAGCACATACAAGAAGCAATCAATGAATGCATAAGTAAGTGGAATAAGAAACTGATGTTTCTCTCTCTCTCCCCCTTCCTACCCCCACCCCAAATCTTTTTTTCTTTAAATTTACCATTAATTTAGATGTTTAACAGTAAGCTGAAAAAGTTAAGACATTCTAAAACAGATAATAAATGACATGCTTAGTAAAAAGTATTCTATTTGTGGAAATAGAACCATTTCAATTAACCTGTATCTTCCACCTCCTAATTCTCTGATATATTTAAGGTACTCCATTATTGGGAGTAAAAATTCATCAGTATTTGGATTGTGTTGAGCAAAATTTTATTTTATTTTTTTAAATCCTCACCCAAGGTTTCCATTGATGTTTCAGAGAATGCAGGGGAGGGAGGAGGGGGTAGAGAGAGAAAGACAAAGAGCGATGTGAGAGACACATAGACTGGTTGCCTCCGGCATGCACCCAACTGGGATTGAGCCTGTAACCAAGGTATGTACCCTTGACCGGGAATCTAACCCAGGGCCCTTCGGTCCGTGGTCCAACGCTCTAACCGCTGAATCAAAACAGCCAGGGCGAAAATTTAAAATGTACTAGTGAAAATGTTAGCATTACTATGAATGAGTGAAAATATTTTTTTCAACTGGAGTTGTAGGTAGTTCAGGTCTACAAACTATGTGAAATCTGTTGACGAAGCTTTTACCACAATCTTAGTGGGGTCTATTTTCCAAAAAAGATTAATAGCCACTGTAGAAAGGCACCTATTGATTGGAAGTACAGTAAACTCCCATAATACAGGAATTCATCTATAATGTGATGGGTCTGGTGACTGGCTCCTGTCCTCTTGCAGACTCCATTCCTACATAGGCTTGCCCTGGTCACTTTTTAGTCTTAAAAATAACATGACTCTACATTTTATGTGACTGAATCTTTTAGACTTCACTTATACATAATGGTGGGGTTTTACTAATCAAGGCTGCACAGTGCCCACCACAGCATACATATGACAGCATGGTGGTTTGTTACAAGAAACACAGTGGAAAGCCTGTATGGCTGCCAAAGAGTCCAGCTATGGATAGAAAGTTAATGTGGGGGAAGAGAAGAGAGAAGGTAGGCAGCAAAATAATAAACTAATTCAACAGAAATCTTTTGGCTGTGTGTTACTGAGCATTAATGCGACATCTAGCAGTCCTGAATTATTCCTTTTCAATTGTTTTTTACAATTTTGGATCGTATCTGCAGAAAAAAATGTGTTCCTATTTTAAATTTCCACTAGTCATGTTTTAACTGGAATCTGAGGTAATCTTCCCACTACTCTCTAGGATATTAATAACTAACGCATTACTTATTATTAAAGAATCTAGTTGATTAAGAGTGCATGGGAAAGATAGAAGAGAAAAAAAGAAACATTCAAAGGTAACTGACTCAGGCTTAAAAGTATAACAAAAGTCTGTACATAGATTCAGACAGATGTGGTAGATAAAAAAGCAAATACACTATTTGTACTTGTGCATTAAAATTTTGAATACTGCCCATTTCTAGACATGCTATAGTAAATAGTACACAAAGTCTTTTCTTAAAACAATGGAGTCCAGCTACACATTTTTAAAAGTTAAGAAATACCGTTGATGTTCCCATTGCAGCAGATGTGAAATATTTTGGTTTATATGCTGTTAAATCCACTTCTGAGGCTACGTCCTTGGGCTCATCATCAAAAGTAATATCATCTGGTATAAACCTAAGAAACAAAGAAAAAATAAATGTATTTAAACATATGCTGCAGTAATAAACAACCAGAGTTTAGATTCTCTTCTAATTAGTTGTAGTTTATGCATACATACCATATAAAAGTTTCTACAGAACACACATGTAGATGAGACAAACAATGTTAGAAATAACCTTGGCACAAAACTTCTGAAATTCATAAGCTATAAATCTGTAATTCCATTAAATTTAAGTGAACTCTATGTAGGTAGAAACCCTGCATTAGGAGTCAGCTAATATAAGTCAGGTGCAAACACACATGGGTCCCTCATGTTTCAAAAAGAGACTCCTGATAGCACAGTCATTGGCATGCTACACAATATTCTGAAGATCAAAAAGAATTATTAATGGTTAAGTGTTTTGAATATAAAGTATCATATACATGAGGTGTCACTGAAAAGGACAAGCTTAAGGCTGATTCTTCAAGACTAAAAAATCCTAACAATCTTATCTTCCAATATTCCCCCACAAATAGATAGCTGTTAAATGTAAATTAGCCATTATAATTGTTAGGCAATTCTTAGGAATTAGACTAATAATTGGGGGTCTGGGGAAAGCAGAGTTAAATAATCCATGGTTACTGTATTTAGCATTTGTAATTTATATAAGAGATTTTAATCCCACAAAAAAAGCATATGCTGTATATTCCACCAACCAGCTTTTTTGGGGGAGGAATGGATAATCACGGTTCCTTACATCTATGTAACACCCTCCTCCAGCTGGACCTTTGCACATACTTAGTAGAAAAAAAAACAAATAGATTTGTTTTTGAGGCTATTATACTTAACTATAACTAATATGCATGTTTCTATATTTTGGGGCAGGTAAAAGTTTTCCCTAGATAACAGGATGGCAGCAGAAAAGTCTATTTTCTTTTATAAATGACAAAATAAAACAGTGAATGTAAAGTTTTTCCATGGTCATTGATTTGACTTTCTAGGCACTGACAGAGCTTATTCTAACACTGCATGGAAATGTCCCAAAAAGGAAACAGAAAGAAGAGAACACTCCTGAAAAGAACATGTTAACATAAATTCATGTACCCAGAGTTTGACATTCTAACAAATGTTTGGTAACTACTATTTAAACATTTGAAACAAGCACCTCCTATTGAAACTGTTAACAGAAAAGAGAAGGAAACAGCTTGCTTTACGAGATATGCCCTTCTTGCTATATACTTACGCATGCTAAAATCCTACCCCAAATTATTAATTTCAATATTTTTATTTGTATTTTTCTACCAGCTGGAATGCCTTTAAAAAGTATGAAAGCCATAGTGACTACGAATTGATGCATTTTTTTCCCCCTAAAACATTTCATTTTGAGAACAAAGTCTCTAACAAACCTGCATACAAAGAAGTGGTTTCTATTCAAAAGTGTCACAGCAGAGTGGTTTACTGGGTTCCAAAGGACTAGGCTCCTGATAAAAGGGCACAGTAGTTCAGCTCCCCATTTCCTTTGAACTGGCATTCACCACACCTAAGGTTTTTCAGCTCTGGGTCAGTGAAGCCTGAGCACGTGGTGAAAATAATGCCCAAGTCTGAAGATAATGCCAGCAATTCTATCCATCTGTTCACTGAGCAGCACTTAGAGCAGTGCTGTTCAACAAAACTTTCTGTGATGATGGCAATGTTCTGTGTTTAAGCAAACAAATTTTAAGTTAAATTTTTTTTTTTTCCACAGTCCCCTACTACCACAAATTATGCAGTTGCATTTCCCACAGACTTGGGGAAATTGCAGGGGTTCAGCACATCAGGAGTGCAATAGATAAGTCCTGCCTTGGGAAAACCACCTTTGTATCATGGCATCTCCCCTGCCAGGTATTTTTAAATTTTTAATTAAATAAATTTAAATAGCCAGATGTGCCTAGTGGCTACTGTATTGGACAACACAGATCTAAAGGTACCAGTTTATTAGCAAATTCCTTTGCCCCTGCTTCAATGCTATTTTAAAAGTAATTCACCTGGTTTCTAGTTCTCAAAGACAGTTGCAAAGAAACATGAATACATATGACCCATCATCCCAAAAACATAGCCAGCATACCTGTAAGGACATAAATGTGGGGTGGCTTATACAAAATACTCTGGCATTTCCTCATTCGTTTTCTTTCTTCAGAGTGATGTTCCATAGGACAGTTTGTCCAAAAGCAACTCTTTCAGAATATGAAACACAGAGCACCACCAGTTCTAATATTTTACTTCTTATAATCACATTTACTACAAGATTAAATTGGTAAGACACACACTGGGTTACCTTAGATCTACGAACGAACAACTACTTTCGAATTCCAGGCCATCACAATCCTCATAAAGTTTAGCAGCTGTTTCAGGAGAATCACAGTCTACTACTGCATAACAGTATTTCAAACGTTTAAATTGATAATCTCTCAATTTTTCTCTAGAGGTCCTAAAAATGGAAAAATTCACTAAGGTTACTTATATAGGAACACAAATATCTCCCTTTAAAAGATAAATGTAATTGTTTCAAGAAAAATATATTACAACCTTCATACCAATCCATCCTTCCTTCATGACTTTGCCTTTATGAACATTAAACACTTAATTTATTATGTTGACAAGGTACAAACTAGGTATTTTGTTTGGAATTTGGTATCTGGAAAGGGAGAGTATAGGCATTACAAATGCTTACCAATTATTTTAGTTTTCAGAAGTTATTTTTTTTGTTTTGGTACCATATACACCCTTCTCAAATAAAACTGATGGACAAACACTGTATTATAAAATATACTAAGAAAGAATTTGCTCTAGTTATAAAAAAAATTATGTGTTGTCAAGTCTGAACGGTTATAAGTTTAATTTTACTTAACTACAACATATTCTTGGAGGGTCTTCATCCACTCTCTTCTGCCACCAAATAATATGGTATTTAACCACCATTTTTATTAAGTGCACATATAGCTCCACCTAGTGGTTTAAAAACTAACATTTTTTTCTGTTACATTATCTTGACAAAGAAGTGATCAGTCTTTTTGTATTTAATACTCAAATTAGAAAAATTACATAATTTGAAGGCAAATAGTTTCAATGTCATTTATGTGGAAATCTACATCCTAGAAAAAAATCAGTGATGATTTTAATGAATACAGAAATAGATATAGACATACAAAATACTGTTGGAATAGTGTTTCATCTTAATTTGCTTTGCAAGCTGTTTTAACTATGAATGGCACGTGTACACCTGAGTCCTAACTTTTAAAGTGGTGGGAATTCTGAATTAGTAACATGAACTTGTATGGTTTAGTTTTGTTATCTACAGTGATTTAATACCAGTCCTTCTCAGGGGCATCCTCAGGAATAGTCAGTAACTCCACTGGTCCTCGAGCTTGTTCTTCCTTCATCCTCTCCTTTCCAAACTCCGAAAAATATATCTAAACACAGAAAGCAACTTCAGTGCAATTTATACTTTCTTTTTCTTTCAACACCCAGACCTGTCAAAGTCAGTAACTAATTTACAGCTGGGCTCAATGAAAACAGCAAGGATAACTCACTTTCAAACCCACTACAGAAAGCGAAAGCATCCTGAAGAATCTCCTTAAAAATAGCAGGAGATTTGGGCAGGAGATTAACAGATGTGGGGCTTGGGAACAAAAACAGGACATGTCCTCCATTCATCAGCTGGGACAAGGGGGTTTAGGGCTCCAAAGAAAAAATTAAGAAAAGCAAAATAAGATTCTAAGCTCAAGAAACTCAACGCAAATACACACACACAAAATGACTGGATTAACTAGTTTACATAAAATATACAAAAATTGATTAAAGAAATATATAAAACAGCCCAGCTGGACGTGGCACATGCCCAGGTTGCGGGCTGCAGCCGATCAATGACTCTCTCATCATTGATGTTTCTCTCTCTCTCCCTCTCCCTTCCTCTCTCTGAAATCAATAAAGATATATTAAAAATATATATATATATAAAAATAATGAAGAAAAACAATTTTGTAATACCCACCTTATTGCTAAGTCATATCATTTAGCGAATGCTTTCTTTAAAGACATTCCTTTTAATAGAAGGAACTGATGACAATCTTATCACATAGATTAGATATATATAGTCTTGGTATAAGAAAAAGGATTCATCCTTACTAGGATTTGATATTTTTATTTCTTGGCTACTTTTGAGAGTCAAGAAATATAACTGCATTAATCTGCACTGTCTTGACACTCCTGGACTTAATATACATTTAACAAATACATATTTTTTGGAATTGTGAGAAATATGCAATTTATCAACTGGGGATGAGATTTTCTTACTACTTTGAGTTGTATGTAATAGGATTTGATGTAACATTTTAAAATATATATGTAATCACATCTGTTGATTCTTTCTTTGTGTTTTTTCCCTCCTCTTTTCTAAGTCTAGAATTTCTACTACCAATCTCCTGAAACAGAAGATTTAACAAAAACACAATTCCATTTCTGTGGTTTGGTTTTTAATATTTTCCCTTTACTTCATCTGGAATTTATTTTGGGCTCTCATGAGTTGGGGATCTGAACTATAAGTTCTCTATGCAAAGACCTGTCCCAATACCATGCTCTACCTCATCACCTAAACTCTTTATCTATTCCATTCCATTAAATTGTCCCCTTATTTTTACCCAAAACTGTTAATTCTCATGGCATTATAAAATGTTTAGATATTACAACTGGTAGGATCCTTTTATACTGGTATGATTTCTCAAAAAGTTATTAGTAACCCTTACTTATTTATTCTTTTAGATGATACTGGTATCCTTTTTCTTAACTTTCACCTGGACTGAGATTTTGATAGAAACTACACTAAAACTGTAGCTCTAACATCTTAAATAATTAAACATAATACATAATAATTATTTAGAGCTGCTTCAGGCATTGTACTAAATACTCAGTGTAAGATCCTTTTCATTCAATCCTTACAACTATACTAGGAAGTAGTATTGTTATATCTACTTGTCAGATGAGAAAACACATATGAGAGATTAATAAAATGCCCAAGTTCCTGTAACATTTATCAGAATCAAGATTTAAACCCCCCAAAAAGCAACAAACAAAACAAAAGATCTGAATGTAGGTCTGTCATACTGCAAAGCCTGGATTCTTTATCACAATGCTGGTTCTCTAAAAATATGGTATCTCAAAATTAAAGTTTTTCAAATTTATCAAGTGTTATAGTTTACTTCATATAGGTCATGTGTTTAAGGTAAATCCCAAGGATTGTATGTTTCTGATGCTAATAAAAATAGGATTTTTTCTTAATTGGTTAATGCTTATAAAAAGAATGCAATTTATTTTTTAAATATTTATGTTATACCCTTCCTGAGCTTATCATAGGTTCTCTATTGACTTACTTGAATTTTTAAATTATATACAATCATATAACCCATCAATAATAATAATCTCATTTCTTATTATCAAGAATAATTTTACCTCTTCCTTTCTTTTATTATACCTGTTATATCAGTTTCATGCCTAACTGTATTAAACAATTTCCAGGTAAATTATTTTCTTTAAAAGGAAAACTATGACTTAAAAAAATGAGAATGAACTTAAAACACTTAGAAATATTTACTTCAAAATGAAATCAATTCTTACCTTTACAGAAAATATAACACCTCCTTTAGGTTTAAATGAATTGAACAGAGCCAGCAAATCTTTTGCCTTTAATCTATCCCAGTCCATGTTGCAAACTGCTAATCGACGTGTAATCTAAGAAATGAGAAAATTTTATATTAAATAATCTGTCATTCCCAATGCCTGCAAAATAAAGATACTAAAAATGTAATGCCTTCATTCTCCCAAATTCTGAAATCATCAATATAATATTTATCTGAGGAGTTTCAATACACAAAAGAACTTCAGATCACACAATAGTACAATTGTCAACAGATAAGTATTTCCTCTTACTTGGCAGTTGTTGAATCAGAACATAAAGAGGAGCTGATTTTTTTAACTACCAAGTTTATTAAGCTATTTTGCCATTCACACATAAACAGGGAAGTTGAGTATGCAACCCTGTGGCATTTCTAATAGGTACAATAGGATCTGAAATCAAGTTATTTTCTAAAAATTTCATGTCAACTTTAATTATTTATGTAGAATTTCCTTTTTGCTTAGCCATTTAATTTATACATAAATATATTCCATACCAAGAGGTTTTAATCAAAATCATCAATAGTATTATTTATCAATAAAGACTTTCCCACTTAATTTAATGACATCAGTCTTACCATCCATAAAGGCTACTTGTACAGTGTTCTTCACAAATGACCTTATTTATTCACACTTTACCTCATCACCCCGAGGAGCATCTTTATCTAGTTCTCTCCAAGCATGCTCAAAGCCAGATACCTCTGGAAGTAAGTCTGCTGTATCTTCTTCATCTTCGGAACTAGTTTCTATATTCCCTTTACCTCTCGCAAGATCGGGGCCACTGTCACTTTCCCCCTCCTCCTCACTCTCATCACTTTCCTCCTCCTCGCTTTCACTTTCATCACTGTCGTCATCAGCTGAAGCTGTACCAAAGTCTGCGATTCCATCTTCAGATTCTTCATCGCTTCCTCTTTCACTAGCACTTTCTAAATCTTCCTCCAAAGCATCTTTATCAAACATTTTACCACCTGTTGAGTTTTCATAACCATCACTGTGTCTTGCCACTACAAAGGGAACCACTGTAAAAAGGTGAAAGGAGAGAGAAATTAATAAATTATAAACACTGAACTAAATTGAATCCAAGTTATTTCATGAGGTATCTATAAAAGAGACTAAAGGAAAATATAAATTTAGCAAACTTCATGCCTAACCAAGTTATTTATTAGAAATCTTAATATATACCCAAACCACATTCATTCAATATTTATGGAATGCCTGCTATGTGGTAGGTACTCAATATACAATCATTGGCAAAAGAGAAGCAATCAATGCCCTCAACAAACTTCCAGTTGAATAAAGAAGACAGATGAACACATACTGATCAACTAAAATCATTCATATCAATACACATTTAGGCCTTGTCTGGGTAGCTTAGTTGGTTAGAGCAAACGCCAAGGTTTTGGGTTCGATCCCTGGTCAGGGCACACATGACAATCAACCAATGAATGCATAGCTAAGTGGAACAACAACAAATCGATGTTTCTCTCTCTCCCTTCTCCCTCCCCTCAAATCAATAAATTAAAAAAAAATTTAAGAAACTACACATTTTAAAAAACAAAATTACAACTAGGATAGGTACCAAGTAGGAATGTTATATAATGCTATGAGTTGCTACTTGAAGGATAAAGGATTAAGTAAACAAGGTTTGACAAATAGATTAGGGATGCGTTCCAAACAGCAAGAAAAGCATATGGAGAGATACACTAAAAGAAAAAATCTGAAAAGCATGTCTAGATTGCAGATAGCCAGGAGTCAAGTAAGAAATTAAACTAAAGAGTTACGCTATCCAAAAACCATGTAGAGGGTTTGGATTTGTTGTAAAGGTAATGAGAAGCCACTGCTGTTTTCAGAAGGAAAGACATCAGATTTGCACATTGAGATTACCTTGACTACACTGTAGAAAACTGACTGGAGGAAGTTGAGTGGATGTGAATAGAGAGAAGTGTAGTACATACGGCAAGAGACACCACTAAGTTGGTAGAAATTGAAATGCAGGGAAGAAAATGGAGTCACTTCTGACTTTCGGTTAAGAAGCAAAACCAACAGTAATCAGTGACAGGCTCGGTATGGGGCAAAGGAGTTTTAGAAGTGTCAAAGATGAGTCCTAGCTTCTTGGCTTGAAGAGTAGCTGGACAGATATATAAACAGGCAATGCTGGAAAAGAACCAATTTGTTTCTTTGGTAGAGGCAGATCATGAGTTCAGTTTTGGATATGCTGATTTAAAAGTGTCTTTGAGTCATCTAAGAAAACAGCAAGAAGACTGGCTGTCTTCTCATGTGTAGTGGTAACAGAAGTTGTGACGTGAATTACATTACCTATGAAAAGAGTGAAATAGTTTTAACTTTCCTGCTAAATCTTGAACTTTGTAACTAACTTACATTTAGCAACTATGAAGAGTAAAGGGCTGATTTTACTTAAATTAGATATTTTCAGCCCTCACAACTCTGAAAGGGCTCATTTTCTTTTCTTTTTTTTACAATCCTCACCCAAGGATATTTTTTCCACTGTTTTTTAGAGAGAGTGGAAGGGGGGGAGAGAGGGAAGGAGAGAAGGAAGGAGAAAAGGAGAAAGGGAGAGAGGGAGGGGGGAGAGAGAAACATTGATGTGAGAGAGGCACATGGATTGGTTGCTTCCCACACGTGTCCTGACTGGGACTGGGATCCACCTGCAACCCAGGCACATGCCCTTGACCAGAAATCGAACCAGCGACCCTTCAGTGCACAGGCTGAAGCTCTAACCACTGAGCAACACCGGCCAGGGCTCATTTTCTATTTCTAAAACAATCACATGCTTCTATTTACTATCTGTGTATATATATATTTTATACAGCTACTCAAAAAATAGTTTTACCATTTTCCACCTAATTATAAAAGTAATGAGCAATGCAAAAAATTAAGAAAATACAGTTAAAGATGACTAGCAATTTTTCATTCAGAGATAACTGGATGGTTATTTTGGTACATAACTCCCTAAATTTGTTTTCTAAGACATATCCACTAACTTATTTTTAACTAGCTGATCATACCATTTATGCTATTTTGTAACCTATTGTTAAAACTGCATATATCATAGTCATATTTGGCTGTACCATAACTTAATCAATCCCCTAATGATTTATGTTACCATTTTTTTAAATTTAAAAACAATGCTACAGTGCATATTCTTTGACACATCCGATCTTTTACTTAAATTCTTAGGGGTGCAAGTGCTGGGCATCAACATTTTTAAATGACACATACGAAACTGTAACTCCTCATATCACCTTTACTTAATAGCACTTAAAAAAAAAATCATCGCAGTCCTGGCTGGGTGGCTCAGTTGGCTGGAGCATTGTCCAGTGTACCAAAAAGGTTATGGATCTGAGTCCCAGTCAGGTCACGTACCTGGGTTGCAGGTTAGGCTCTGGTTGAAGGAGCAGGTGAAGGCAACCAATCAATGTTTCCCTCTCACATCAATGTTTCTCTCTCTCCTCACTTCCTCTCTCTGAAAAATCAATAAACATATCCTCAGGTGAGGATTAAAAAAAACTTATTTATTTTTTAATCAGAAGGAAGTTGCACTTTATTGTGTAAGGTGCAATGTTCAATATCTAACTAATTAATCGCCTTATTACTGTTCTTATTTATCTTATTTACCTTTTTCATTTCTTGTGTACTTTTTCAATTGCATTTATTGGGCTGACATTGGTTAATAAAATTATACAGGTTTCAAGTATACAATTTTGCAATACATCATCTGCATATTGTATTGTGTGTTTACCATCCTAAATTTGGTCTCCTAGAATACTACACAAATTTAACTGTCTCCAAATTTAATTTTTCCAAATCCTTACCAAAGTAACACTTCACCTGAGTTTTTCTGATTACTGTATCTTGAGTGACCTCTTCTTCAGAATTCTTGTAGTCCTCTGCTGAACATCTTTTAATGGCTTTTAAAATTATTCTATTTCATATTATGGTTCTGACTCATTTCTTCTACTTTAGATCTGCACTGTCCACTATGATAGCCAGCAGCCACATGGGGTGACTGGAAAGTGTTGCTTTCAACTAGGGCCTCTGCACAGTTTAGTGAGCTGTTTTTTGCAGTAGAGGATCTGCAAAGGGGCAAGATAGGTTGAAATCAAGGCCAAACTCTACTTATTAATCTATGCACTGTGTGGAGTAGCTATGTCTACTCACGGAAAGAGAACCTGTTGCTTCACTTAAAGATGCTGTCTCACCAAACTGAGTTGTGTGTTCAGAAGGGCATACCTTTTTCTAATATTCACAGACATTATATAAGCTAACAGTAGCTCTGAGAGGGAACCATGTCTTATTCATGTTCTATCTGCCAAATACTAGTCACTGAAAGTAGCTGAATGAAGAGATGAATACTACTCAACTCTATTACCTTCTTTAGGCACAACTCTTATAATTTGATGAGTACATGTAACACTTTATCTGATTAGAAAATACAGCTCTCACTAGTGCCCATTACATATCAAATTTATTGTGTAACCTTGACTCAAATTTTTATGCCTCTTCTAGTCACTATAGCACCAAATCAAAAATTAATAATGATTATATGGTATTTTTTTCTTTCATACCTTTATACCTCTAAATAAGCACTTGATAATTCCCATTACACTATAAAAATACTTAATATGTTTACATTTTTAAAAGATCAGAATAAATATAAGTAACATAATACAAACAAATCCTTAATTTTTCCAACAAACCTGACTGTATTTCTCTTCTTGTCTCAGAATGCTTGATTTTCGGAGATTTCACAACTTCTGAAGTGCCCGAGTCTATTGTCCTTAGTCTTCCTTTGGGACATGAATCTGTATTAAGTTGAACATAACGTTTTTCCCCTTTTGCACTCTTTGGTAGAAATTCACTGTCTTTCTCAGGACTTATTTTTGAATCTACCTTCTCAGGTTTGCATGAGTTTTTCATTTTCTGAATTTTGTCAGAGTTATCTAAATCATTTTTATTTCCAGAATCCTTTTGGTTAATTTTCTTGGTTTCTTTCTTTTTCTCCTCAACTAGATTTTTTGATTCTATTTTATTTTTCTGGGGTTTTTTCTTCTTCATTTTCTTTTGATTCAATGCTTTGTTATCTTCACCTGAGAGATCTGAATCAGAATCCGAAAGGTCATAAAAACGTTTTAAGTCCTCTGTAGTGCTGTGGCTGATGGGGCGTCCTCTTTTATCCACAGCGTAATTCAACTTGAACTTTTTGTCATGAAACATTGCTCGAAATCTCTTGTCAATTTTGACTTTTCGATCCTTTTCTGGCATTTCCCAAAATCTTGGGTCCTTTGTAACACGCTTAAACCGCTGGTCACTCATTATTTCTTGTTTGGATGCCATTTTTAAGTGTCTGACTGGACAAGTGCTTTAAGAAACCAAATTCTGAAAAATAAAACAAATGAGACAATAACGAAGGGTTAGTAATAAAATTAAATAAGATGTTTTGGGGAAAAAATACTAATTCACAATATAGTCTAAGTTAAACGCAAATAAAGGTAACAAGTCAATTTCATTAAGAAACTTATTCTGAATCACGTGCAAAAAAACCAAAAACTATGAGAATATCCTCTTTCTATTACAAAGCATTTGAAGAAATAAATTCAGGGTAAAAGCAAGTAGAATTCCAGGGCAAATGCTTACTAACCAATCACACTCGCTTAGAATTTCTATGTTTGTTTGTATACCTGTACGCCTTACAAGCTAAAAGCTAATGTAATTAAGATTCCCACGCCTCAGCTGGTCTCATTTTTTATTTCACATTTTGGTCCCATCCTCTCTGTTAAGCCTTACCTCGTGCTACTCCTAATGGCCTTTGGTTCTACAAGGCTAGTCTCATAACAAAACAGACCAAAATCAAGTCAGGTTTAGCTCACAGAGTTCCCTCTTTAGATCCGACCATCCTTCAAGAACCAGGTAAAGTCTCACTCTAGCTAATACACACCACGTCTTTCTAAGATTTCTTATTCTACAGGGGACCATTCCGCCCCGTCCCCCAAACATACTGGAATACGTGTATGTATATAATTAGCACTGTGTCTTCAAAATAGTTCTGAAAAAGACTTGACGATAAAGCTGAATTTTTGCCTAAAAATGTACAACTTTTACACACCAAGAAAAATCAAAGGTGTCAACAATCCACTTGCACACTTAAAAGTAGTATTAATACTGGCGTGCCAGGCAGTGGTCTATGAGTTTTAGGTTAAAGCATTTAACCCTCCGGACAGCCTTAGGAGGTGGGTCCCATCTCATCCAACTACCGGAGGCAACGCAGACACACGGTGAGGAGGAAAGCCCTGGACAACAGTCCGGTATTCAGGGAATGGAAGGCGACCCGACCTCACCTCCGACGCCCGCCCTCCTCTCCGCGCCCCCCCGCCCCTTAGGCCCCNCCCTCTAACGCGGGGAACACCGGGCAGCTCGGGACGAGGGTCTCCTTCCAGCTCCCACACCTCAGGGCGCTGCGACTGGACTGAGGTCTCAACAGGCCCCTGAGAAGGACCAAGGAAGCCCGAAAGATGAGGCCGGGAAGGCGAGGAGGCGGGGCGCACCCCCGGAGGCCGGCTCGGCCCCCGCACAGTCCGGCTGGAACCCTGCCCCCTACTCACCGCC